AAGAATACAGCCCCACTCACCCCCATCACCCTGTGTGACTCCCCAGTCAAAACTGTAGAGTCCTTCCGCTTCCTGGGCGCTATTCTCTCCCGGGACCTCAAGTGGGAACTGAACATCAGCTCCCTCATCAAGAGAGCTCAACAGAAGATGTACTTCCTACAGCAGCTGAAGAAATTCAACCTGCCAAAGACAATGATGGTGCACTTCTATACAGCAATCATTGAATCCATCCTCACCTCCTCCATAACCGTCTGGAACGCTGCTGCCACTGCCAAGGACAAGAGCAGACTGCAGCGTATCATCCACACTGCTGAGAAGGTGATTGCTTGCAATCTACCAACCCTCGAGGACCTGCACACCTCGAGGACCATGAGGCGAGCGAGGAAGATTGTGGCCGATTCCTCCCACCCTGGACACTCTCTGTTCCAGCTACTCCCCTCCGGCAGAAGGCTGCAGTCCATCAGGACCAAAACCTAACGCCACAAAAACAGTTTCTTCCCATCCGCTGCTGGCCTCTTCAACAAGGCCAAGGGCTTACACTGACTTTAACATTTTATCTACAAAATGACACCTTTCCATATTTACACTGTTACCCTATTTGTATATTTTTTATTTTTAGATTGTATCTTATAGCTACTTTATATTGAATATTTATTCAAAATTTTACATACTTTAGCCCCTTAGTGTTAGTTAGACTTTGTACCTTTAGTATAGTTAGACTTGTATACCACTTATTTAATATTTAAGATTCCTATATGTTGAATGTATGCACCTTCCTGCCAAAGTAAATTCCTTGTCTGTGCAAACTTTCATCGCGAATAAAACCCTTTCTGATTCTGATTCTGAACATATGTGAAAAGGAGCTAGCTTATCGAAATCCTCCAGTATAAATACATATTCTGATTTTCAATAATTGTGCTATCAGTATCAGGTCATGAAGCAAATAATCAATTCATAACTCTCACATAGAAGTGCAACCCTTTGTGCCAGAGAACGGCCTACTTGAGCAGATCAAATCCATCCTCGTGGCCTATGGTGCACACAGTAGAGGGTAAGGTGATAGTGCTTTTCCCTACCATGTTTCCACTTAGTGAAACATTTTAATTTTCAGAATTACATTTAGCCACATTAAATGCCGAATCTAATTTTATGTGATGGTTTTTTTTTTCATGTACAGTTATTGGTGGCTAGACTGAGACCATCTCACTCCAGTTGAGAACCCGTTTTAATCACGGCCTGATTAATCCCAGATTCGAACCCAGGTTCTATGGTACCAGCTCAATACCCGGACTTGTGAGCCACCCGACCAGCTTGCATTACCGGGATGAAAGCTCGCTTGCGGCAGATCCACATTGGATATGTATGTATGTTGAACTTCTTTCGCACCGTATGTAGCTAACTGTGCTAATCAGAGGTGCGGGATATCAGCTGTAATGATGAAATGTGTTACTGTGGACATTTTTCACGGTGTTGTGTAAGGTATACGACTATGCGGTTTTGTTAAATAAAAGACATGACATCAAATAATATCCTTTTGGCTGTTGAATTTTGTTCAAGGCATACCTTAATGACTGCAACTGGTAAAACGAATAATACAACTTATCATTATAATTAACAAGATCAACATCCACACAGGTAATGAGACCGTTCCATTTGCAGATAAAATATCATTCTGCAATGCAGGGGACATTTAAGGTGTATCCAGGGTTTTTCCATAGCCCTTTGGGACCCATTCGCTTAACCTTCAACAATGTGAATTCAACCTTGATGAAGCTTGGAAAGCTGGAGTTCATAAGAACTTGCAAACACCTTGTAAAAGACCCAACGCAGATGATCCCCCGGTTTTGGTCGACCCTAAAACGCAGATGCAGATATTGTTCGTTAGTTTCTCAATCCGCTTGTTCTGGTGAGGGTTGCGGCGGTATCATATCGAGTAGGGCGGTCCAGAACTCCCTTTCCTTGGCGACGGACTCTCGCTCTTCCAGGGTAATTCCCAGGTAATCCCAGGTCAGCCGAGCGACATCGTGCCGCCAGCATGTCCTGGGCCGGCCCCGGGGGTTCTTCGCCTAGATGCAGATACCTGATGTACAAATTAAAAATTAAAAACCCTCAGGTGTGCGACTGTGGTCATCCAGAACAGACAGTATGTGGTGCCGCCTCAGCGGAGCAGCTCCGTCGGGGGCTGTACCCACCGCCGTGACACCACCACCGGGGGGTGATAACCCCCCCCCCCCCGCACGAACGCACACACACCCCACGTAGAGCCGGGAGGGGAGGTCACCTGGCCGACGGGTTTTTATCCAGAAGCTCCTAATAGGATCAAGCTTCATGGTTTCCCGCAGCCACGAAATTGGGCGATATCCCCCCGTAGCTGACGTGCACCGCGGCGCCGTGACCTGATATTAAAATTACGTGGTCACGGCGGAGGTCGTAGAGCCACCGCAGATGAAATCACACACACACGGCACTGGGCGTGGAAACAGCGGTACGCCTTTGTTATAGGTAGAATTAGGGACTCACACACACAGCACGGCACGTGGGAACAGCGGTACGCCTTTGTCATAGGTAGAATTAGGGACCCCAATAACAACGAGACAGGAGCATTCCGACATCTGAATGGACAGGGCAGCCCGGGGTGTGGGAACAGCGGAAAGCTTTTGTTATAAGTAATATTACAGAGCCGAATGTGAAAGGGACGAGAATAACTCGGCCTCCGATTGGGCAGGGCGGCACGGGTACGGAAGCATCTGAATGCCTTTTGTCATAGGTGGAATTATAGACACTAATATGAAAAGGCACGGGCGAGCAAGTGCAGGGTCCGTGCAATACCTTTTGTGATAGGTAGGATAAAAAGCAGGTGAGGGAGACAGTAGAGGGGTGTTCTTCAAATCATCGCAGGCCACGGAGCAGGAGAGTCAGCCGTTCAAGACGTCCGTGTGACGAACTCCAGCGCAGCCAGGCTCAACCCTCTACGGAGACGACCCACAGCCTCATCCTTCTACAGCGTTCAGCGCAGCAAAGTGGAAGTAAGCGCGAGTGAGAGAGAAGTGAGTTTGCGTGATTTAATCGAGAGTGGAGAGCGGAGCGACAGGCAGAGTAAATTCAGTCTAGGATCCCAGGGGGAATAGGCTGGCACCCACTGACCCACACAATTACGCGAAGCTTAACGGGTTACTCGCGGTAAATAAAATCACTAGTAGGGGGATAAACTGTGTCGTGTGGTCTTTGGTAGTGTGAAGAGGAGGGCAGAGCGTGCTTGGTGTTCGCGTACCTGTACGATCGTTTACAGTAGTGTTTAGCGCCCGCGTGCCTACGCGACTATTTTCGGTGGTGTCCAGCGCTCGCGTACCTGTGCAATTGCTTACAATAGTGCTTAGCGCTCGCGTGCCTGTGTGACTGTGTTGCGGTCGCGTGCCTGCGCGATTGTCTAATAACGAGGTAGCGAGCTAAGCGCCTGGCGTGCGCGTATTCGCGCGGCTGTTTAAACGGCCCTTTAAATCGGAGCGAAGTGACCCCCCTCCAATCAGCAGCACGCGCACGGCAGACGCCTCTGGCCTCCCACCCCCGACCCCCCACTACATCGCGTGTGATTGGTGCATGGGGCTCGGCAGGTGGTAGCGTCGTGTTTGTTATTGCCTGAGCGCGTGGAGCATGTGTGTGAGGGAATCACGCGTCGGCGCGCCGCACCTGTTTGTTCACGTGCGGGACGGGGTTTTACTTTGCGAGCGCGCTCACCGCGGCACGCCGCCACTGAACAGCGTAGCGTGTCGTAAGTGTAGAGCAGGCGGCCGCATGCAATTGAAACATGCCTACGCGGGTAGCCGCAAAGTCGGGGGCGCAAGGGGGCGAAGATTTTGTGGTTGGTAGCCCGGACCCCACAAAACAGCCGGGGGGTAGTGGGACGAATTTAACGGGGGAGTCGGGGGACAACGGCCCCGACAATTCGGTGATGGCGGGGGACAGTAGCCCCCACAAGTACAACATATAACGACGCAAGACATCACAGCAATACACTCTGCTGCGCCTAATGCGGTTGTCTGGCTTGGCCACCTTGAATGTGAAATAATAGTTCCTCTGCATCTACATCAGCCGTACGAAAGAAGAAGTAGGCCTGACTTTGATGATGTGCGGTTAGGTTGTGTGCAACTGGTATGTGTGAGTGGTGGTTTATTTGACCAGTAGACTCTCTCGACTATCTGCGAGTGGTTTATCCGATTTGCGCTTTAATCGCGCACCTGAGATTTTGACATAAATTACTAATTGCTCATGGTTTTTCCCTTAAACCCAAATTAATCATCTAAACAGACATATATAGAGACCAGAGGACGCCAACAGGCGAACAGCACAAAGGCAATAATGTAATATTGGCAAAGGAGGTCTCGTGATGTAGTTGCTCACCCCGAGCTCTCAATGTCCTGGTAGTGGCGTTGTCTTTGTGCTGTTCGTCTTTTGGCATCCACCTTTGGTCTAACACTGTTTTCACCGCAAGTATATGTGGTTAATGCAGACATGATTCCTTGCAAAGGCTTCGGTTTGGTGTTTTAACATCTGAACACCTGTTTTATTGCCAGAAAGGGGAAAACCCTATTATCATGCGGGACGTCCATAAATGACGTCAAGCACCTGGGGGGGGGGGGGGGGGGTCAGACATTTGTGACAATGTGTGACGAGGGGGAGGGGGTTGAGAAATGTGACGCCACATCAAAATGCGCAACTTTAAATATAGACAACACGTTCTACTTATTTAAATAGTCTTTTAATAAATGTTTTCTCCTACAACATCAGAGTGCAGCGCCACATTAATTGTGCACAATGACTATAGTTTAAAGTGATTTGAAGCATGTTTTATTTTCAAAATGGAAATATGGTTTTGGGGGGGGGGGCAGAGCTTTGTGACGTCATATTTGAGAGGGGGGGGTCTGACTTTGTGACGCCGTGTGACGAGGGGGGGGGGTCAAAAATCGTCCAAAATCGCGTGACGTCATTTATGGACGGCCCCGTACACTAACAACTACCCATAGACTCAACACTGCCCATCAACTCAACGCTGCACCTCCGATTATAATTATCACGGTTGGGCGACGTGCTGTGCGAAAGAAGTTCAACGTGCGTCCCTGGGTGTTGGGTTTCATCGACACTGCCGCAGAATCGAGTGGGTGTCAAATTGCCGCGGTCCCTGACTTTTTTTATATAACAGGTCCCTGCAGGGTGGGCTGGTAGGACAAGTCTCTGCGCTGTCTATTGCTGATTTTACACCCAACAGCACGAGATTTCACTTCATTAAAGTATTGAAAGAGGACGGACGGACAGACGGACACATTAATCTATTGCAGGCTGGTACACTCAGTTTACAACTTCGTTCCTACCAGTAAAACGTTATCATCCACATCAGCAACAACACCTACTACTACTACAACAACAAATACACATCATCATCATCCGTTACAGTAACATCGTCGTAATCTTGCCTGGGCCCGGAGACTAAACGGAATCGCGTACGTAGTCTCTGTCTATCTGTGTGTGTGCGTGTCTGTGTGTGCGTGTCTGTGTCTGTCTGTGTGTGTCTGCGTGTCTGTCTGTCTGTGACCGTGTGTGTGTGTCTGCGTGTGTGCGTGTTTGTGTGTGCGTGTGTGCGTGTCTGTCTGTGTCTGTCTGTGTGTGTGTCTGTGTGTGTCTGCGTGTCTGTCTGTGTGTGTGCGTGTCTGTCTGTGTCTGTGTGTGCGTGTCTGTCTGTGTGTGTGCGTGTCTGTCTGTGTGTGCGTGTCTGTCTGTGTGTGTCTGTGTGTGTGCGTGTCTGTCTGTGTGTGCGTGTCTGTCTGTGTGTGTCTGTGTGTGTCTACGTGTCTGTCTATCTGTGTCTGTGTGTGTTTTTGTCTGTGTCTGTGTGGAGAGCGATTGTGTAGCGGTTAGCGCGCTGCACTATGAACCTGGCGACCCGGGTTCAATTCCCGCTCACGGCCAACACCCCAGTGACGATTATTTGAACCGGTCCTGGGCCTCCCCTAGATCGACTCAGCCTTAAATGAGTACCTGGTGCGATGTGTAAACATCGCCACTGGGGAGACAAAGACGGTCGGGCGTGGTGCTGGCCACCCACCCCCTCGTGTACCGTTCCGGCCTTCATAGGTGCTCGCTAACAGCACTTGCTCCAACAGTCTGTTACAGGCTACACGGGGGATCTTTGTCTTTGTTTATGGTGAATAGGGACTGCCTCCAAATGCCAAGCTGCGTGTTAAATTGACTTTGTTAAAAAACAAAACCAACTGACTTCACTGGGGGCTCTGTCGCATGGGGGTGGTGATTTGGTGCATCAACGGCAGCCATATTACATCAGGATGAATTTCCTGGCAGCTAATTGGCTGGTGTAGTGATGATGTCATCCCTAGCGACCACTGTATGGCTGAGACACAATAAAAATATCGCTGCCTGCTCGGAATTATTATTTTCTCGGTCTGGCTATCCGGGGTTTTACTGCAGCTTCAAAGACCAATTCTATCGATGCTACCTCCCCTTGCCCATTACATGCATTTCAGTTAACCTGTGTTAATATGTTTAACTAGACAATGTTCTAAACCTGATCATGATTTTCAGCTGTTTGTCAATGGCCAGGGGACCAGGTTAGACATCATTCGGCACTGATGCTGGCAATTTCCTGGAATGAAATTCGGATAGAAGGGCTCATAAGGCCATCTATCTCGCCCTTAAAAGAGACAATTAGTCTCAATGTGCACTCAACATCATCAGCCATTGTCTATTCACTACTGGAGGAATTCATCCACATGCCGTCGCCATCCCTCGCAGTTCGATGCTGCTTCCATCCATCTTCGCGTGAACTGATTTCATCTCTGCACCTCCACGGTGGTTATGAGAAGTTTCTTGTCTTCATTGCATTCATCACTGTTTTCAAATATTTACGTCCCATCAGAATGGCATGCATGGTGACCACCCCAGTGCTGGAGCCAAGCGGGGACTTCCCAGCGTGGCTGAAGGCACAGGGCGTGAACGCGGAGGTGGCCCAGGCCATGGACTCGGAGCTGGGCATCCGGGACTACGGGGTCCTGCGCGCCTGTGTCGGGGACGGCCTCGTGCGGGCCGAGCTGCTGGCCACGGCGCGCGACCGCCTGCCCTTCGGTTTCTACGCCGTGCTGCGGCAGGTGGTGAAGGCCTTGCAGGGTGCCAAGCCCAGCGACGCTGGGATGCTGCGCTGGGACGACGCCGCCGCTTCCTCCCCTGGCGATGTGACCCTGGGAGGCCTGGTGGAGGTGCTGCTCGGGTTGTTCAGCGGCCTGAGCCGGGAACTGCTGCTGTCCGTGCAGAGGCTGGGAGACATTGATAACACTGGAATGTGCGCTGTTGGCTCCCCTTCAGCCAACACTGTCGTTTTTCCTGAGAACAGTGTGATGAATGAAATTGAAGATTACAAAGTGAACGGTAAAGTTGTATTCTTGTTCGCCGACCTTATTTTATAATCTTGGTTCTTTCAGTAAAGTCACGTAAATAGAAAGAAAAAAAGAAAAAATGAAAATAAAAGTAAAAATAATCATAAAAGCAAAAACCCACGACGTTTCGATCGCAACACAAGCAGTCTTCATCAGGCGGAGAGAAAAGTGGGGGTAAGCCTCCAAATGTAGCTGCTTATGAGGCTTGTCCCCACTTTTCTCTCCGCCTAATGAAGACCGCTTGTGTTGCGATCGAAACGTCATGGGTTTTTTGCTTTCATTACTTTCAATTTATTATTTTAATTTCATTATTTTTATTTTATTTTCATTTCTTTTTTACGTGACTTTACCAAAAGAACCAAGAATATGAATTCCTGCAGTCACGAAAGTTTTAAGTATAAACTTATTTTATAACATTAAATATCTCATTATGAGACCTTCTTTGCCAGTAACAAGATATAGGAATAGGTTTTACCCTTTTAACTGGCACAAAAACAGACACCTTTATTCAAGGCATCATGTTTGCAATAACCACAACACAAGCAGTCAAAATGCAAACAAAAAAGACAACTCTGATAATAATATGCACTGTCCTTGTACTGTCCTTGAAGAAAGCCGTCTCGGGTGTGGACCAATCAAATTCAAGGACAGTGCATATTATTATCAGAGTTGTCTTTTTTGTTTGCATTTTGACTGCTTGTGTTGTGGTTATTGCAAACATGATGCTTTGAATAAAGGTGTCAGTTTTTGTGCCAGTTAAAAGGGTAAAACCTATTCCTATATTAAATATCTCATTTATGGTATTTAGCCATTGGATTTAGCAAACTTGTAAAAGAATGCATAGGTTTGGAAAATAAACCCGCAAATGCATTATGCTTTATACAGATGAAGGTGAGAAGAACTTCATTCCAGATATGGGAGAATCGCAAGCTGTGGACGCATCACCTTTAATAAAGACGGAAGCCCTTGAAGGTAAAACCAAATTATAAACCCAATTTTAACGTTTCCCATTCCCCTCTAATAATAATATTCATCCTTTTGTCAATCTACTTCTGTATGAAGGCCTCCCCACCACACGTTGGTCATGATAATTGTTGACCATAGTTCACCAAGCTGCTTGATGCAAGTTGGTGAAGGTGGTTCTCAGGACTGCTTCAGATTTCACCTGCCACAAGTGTAGAGGTGTTACGGGAGGGGGACATGCGGTTGTAGGGCGGTGGCCACACACACGTCCACTACGGCCACCACCCTGGGGGGCTGTGGGGGACGCTGTGATCCCTCCCAGCCCCAACCCTCAGTGAGGAACTGTATAAAAGGGGGGACCCTGAGAGCTGAGGGGCAGTTCGACTCGAGCAAGATGAAGAGCCAGTGAAGAAAGAAGATCAACTAGCTAGACCCTGGAACTCCTTTGGCCCGCTGTCCTTTTGAGGCCCGATGTCCTTTTGAGGACCGGACTCGTGTGGCCAGTGATCGGGACCTGCGCCGAAGCTGGGCCAGGTCAGATAGCCCCTTAAGAGAGAACCAGGATAGAGGGAACCAGGGAGCTAGCATGGGCTCAGGCTCGGGAAACGTTCCCTCTATAGAGTACAGGTGAAGAGGCTGTTACCTCATCAAGTATCAGATTAGCCACTGTAGAGTGAAGTGTCTAATAAATACATGTTGCCTCCAAAGAACAAGTCTCCGTAGTCAATAAGGCCACTACAACTGGTGACAGAAGTGGTTTTTACCTGCACGAGATGGTGTTGTATATGTAGGTGTGTGAAAATTTGATGCAAAATAATGAAAGTTAAATGAAATTTGAAATCCGCCTCATTTATATGAAATTATGTTAATTTATGTAATTATGCTAATTTGAAAGATAGCCATATTAATTTATGCGAGTGGGTGTGGCTATGTTAATGACAGCCTTTATGATAATAAGGCCCTGCCTCGTTGACAAGGGTCTGTTATCAATCGGGACAATGCAATTCATCGTATGCTGTTATGCTAGTGTCAAGAGTCAACTCTGCTTCGTGGTTTAAGTTCGTATTATCGATCAGGATAATACAATGATTCTCACTTTAGCATTTACCGAGTATGGATTAGAGTTTATGTTAGGTCCCCAAGTTCATATCATTCTCGCTTTAACATTTACTGAGTATGGATTAGTATGTTTATGTTAGGTCACCAAGTTCATATCTCATCGCAGAACCAGATCTTATGCATAGATTTCAGGAAAGAATCACACGACCACTTCTGCATTAATCAATTTATTCCCTAATTAAACCTTAACTTTAAAAGATACAGCTCTCGGCTTAGAATTACAACAGAGTATCAACACAGTCTCATCAATGACTAGGTTGTTTCACTTTGACAACAGCACCTGTGGTTAATTCCGCCACGTAACGCGAGCTCTGTTGGTGAGAGAGAGAGAGTCGTTAAAACATGCATATGCTAATCTAAATAAAAACCTTAACCTTATAATAAATGATTATACTTGAATTGTTCACGCAGTACCGCACTTATTCATAGATCCATAAGCAACCCTTATCACATTGTTATCACATTAGGTCACGGAACAGTTGAGTATTCTGTAGAGTACGCGAGTGCGTGCGCGATCAGTAACGAGAAGTACTTAAATATTATATGACGATATTAATACGAAAAAGGCGATCAAAAACAGTTATTATTCCCAAAGGCACAAATATCTCAATAGATCCATCGGGTAGATTATATGATTACCAGAATGGCTTAGGGTGAGGGGGTGCAGTGGGGTGTGCTCTCTCCCCTGATATCCTTATCTTGGACTAATGTTTAATTAATTGTGGACCAGATCGCCTGATAAGGAAGCCGGTTGGATACACTATCCCCCCCCCCCCCCACGTGAGCGTTGCTCCGTGGTGAAGGTGTCAAGGATTCATTCGTATTGATGGATCGGTTGGTACTTATGCGATTAGAAGTACAGCCCAAAGCAAAATATTGAGGAGGAAATATTACGAATGTACTTATAAACGACGGAGTGTTCACTCGATCTGCCGCGATGCCTTCACAGCCACTGATGGCCTATGGACTTGAGTATTGGCTTCTGGTTAAGGACCCGTGCATGTTTGACTGATATGAATTGTTTTGAATAGTCAGTATTTGGAGTTGAGACTTTAGGTCAAGCGAACGCCTGATTTGTCGTGTAGTGGAGCAGTGTGCGTCATACGTATCAGTTGATTAAGCTCGGCCCACACTGGTTGACGTAGGCTGACCAGCTGACACGTTGTTGTAGTTGCGATGGCCTGTCGGTAGATGGCGCACACAGCACGCTTGTAGCATGCGCGGGAGGTGAGTTGGCTTGGCAGCTGGCCCACGTTGTTGTAGTTGCGATGGCGTACACAGCACGCTCGTAGCATGCGCGGGAGGTGACGTTGGCTTGGCAGCTGGCCCTCATTGTGTCGCTGAGTGTTGACCACCGATTGCGCTATCGGCACTGGCGATGCACATTCGTAGCCTCGTCGCTAAACAGCGACCCTCGCCACCCCGGTGGGCGGCAGAGACCTCCGCGTCGACAGAGGCCGACCCACGCAGGGGCGATTTGAGCTGCCAAGCGGGTCTTGCCCGCCTGCAGACGAGATGGGGAGCCGCTCCGATGAGTTGAGCCCCGATGGGCCGGCTCCGGTGAGCCGACCGAATTCAGCTGAGTTCCGGACGAACTGAGTTGAGGTGATGAGCTCCTTGCTGAGCACCTGAGGAGCTCTGTTGAGGAGCCCCGTTGATGAGTTCCCCTGAACTCTTGCTGATGAGATGGCGAGCTCAGCTGATGGGCTCAGCTGAGCTGAGCTCAGCCGAGCCGAACCGGACTCCGATGAGCCAGCCGAACTGAAATTTCAATGCGGCAGCGTCCTCTTTTATGCCAAAATCCTTTCTCTTGACTCCTCCCCACAAGGTGGGGCTTCTTTTGGATTTATCGGTGTGTCGTGGTCTGGAGCGTGTGTCCGTATAAGTGTGTCCTTGTGTATGTGTATCCTTGTGTGCGTCATTTACGGCCTTGTTCTATTGATTTCTCTTTCCATAGACCATCAAAAAACAGCAGGTGTTACAAATCGTCTCAAGGCGTCTTTGTCTGTGTGGCACAACCTTGAGGGAGGCGGAATTCTCCCCTGTGTGACCGACTCTCACCGCTTCCCAGACCCAGGCCCCCTCTTTTCATACCATCAAAACAACAGGTGTTTCAAATCATCTCACAGGCGTCTTTGTCTGTGTTACGTAACCTGGAGGGAGGGGCGATGTTCCCTCATGACCTTTACCGACGCACGGAGAAATGGTTACGTTTTTTTTTAAGTTAACATTTTCATCGCAGACTTACAGTTATAATTCTGCACGTGACTCGAGGTCTGCTGTGTTTGCTGTGTCAGTCTTCCATCGTGGCGCTTGACTTTAGCTCCAGGGAAAGTGCTCTCTTAAGCGTATGTATACTCGGAACATGTACGGCAGGGAGACAAAGGTTGCTGGGAGACCCTCTTTTTCCTTGGCCCTCGGTTTAACATCGCTCAAGTATCCGCAAGGCCATGCCAGCGGGACATAGCTCATGGCGAATAGCGTTAACATTAACGCTCTATGAAATTACATGGTTCCTTTAACTGAAACTCCCTGTTCCACTCTCTCTGCCCCATTATCGTGCAACTGCTAGCTTTAGCACAGACACCCGATGGGGTCTCTCCCGCCCTCGCTTCAGGGCTGCGCCTTGAGCTGCTTCTCTGTCTACACACGCCATTCATCTCAAGGTCTCCATTAATTTCGTCATTCCGTCTGGTTGCGGTGGGGGAGTGTTATCTACAGGACTCTCCCTTCTCGCGAGTACAGGTGGCAGCAATAATGAGTTGGCTCTGATTCTTTCCACTCTTATCTCTAGCGTGCCGAGGTCAGTTTCACATGCTGCATTCAGTGTTACCTCTCTCCACGCCCTTGGTTTTTCTTAGGCTCTTTGGCTTACGTGTTTTTCCTTCTCTGGCTCTTTGAATTAACACTGCATTATTAGTCGCTTATGTCCCGAGGTTAGAGAATTCGTTTTGACTTAGAAAAATATTCTGTATCATAAGCTTCGGTCAGGTTGTGCAGAAACTACGAAAGGTGAATTAACATGCAGTATTGGATTAGCAAATGGGCAATAGTTCATTGATGTAGCTCATAGCCTTGTCTCCAATTGAAGCGAGCACGAGGATCGATAGTTTAGCCTACTCCTGTTGTTGCATTTCGAACTTTAATGCTGGAAGATGCAGAATAAATGGTTGAGCTTTTTGACTCACCTATGTCTAGGCTAACGCGAACTCTCCACGACCCTAGGCTCCGCTTACGTCAACCTTGCAGCTTGCGCTCAGCTGTTTTTTTTTCAAAGCGGCCCGTGCTGAGGTTGGGGGAGGTTGTCCTTGGAGCCTATTATTTATTTTAATGTATTTATTTAACTATAAGGTGGATAGTGTTAGTATCAACGCTCTGTGTGATCATGCCTTGCAATTTCCCCAACCCAATTATTGCCATGGTCTGCTGCTGAGTTCGTTAGCACGCTCTTGTCTCCGCTTTCACACGCTACGGGAGGACAAGGCGTCTTTTTGGCTTACGTGTTGTTTTTCAGTTTACTATGCTCTTATGTGTTTTATTCATAAAAAATATATATATAGGTGTATCGGTTAATTTCTTGTTAATATTAATTTTGGAAAAAGGTGCATATTCAACAATGGACACGAGGAGTACAGTTCGTGGGCGCGAACCAGGCCAAGTTGACGACCCTGCAGAGGCCGGTTCCGCACGAGCCGGAGACGGAACCTGGGGCGATGCCGGTGCTTCAACAGCCATAGCAGCCGCCGGGCACGCCGCCACAGTCGGGGGTGGGCTTCGGGATGCTCACTCCCGCCTCGCCGAATTACTGCTCGCCGCCGCCTCCATACTTCAAGAAATTACCCATACGGGAGGAGCGGGGGTGGGAGAGAGGGGGGAGAATCGGCGGAAAACTACCGTTCCCGCCATTAACACGGCTCCGCAAATTGAAATTGGTGCCATTTCCGGGGTGGACTCCGGGGGTGGCAGGGGCCGGGCACACCACGTGGGAGGCGGCACCCAACCACCGCTCGCCACGTCATCCCCAAGCGATGGCCACGGCCGTAGCCAACCAGGAATCTCCGCGCCAGAAGTGGTGCGACCTACGGAGGGGGCCACCTTTGCACTGTACGAGAGTGCTGTACGGGACCATCATCGGCAAGCGACGGAGCAGACGTTCCAGCAGCAACTGTCCGTTTTAACAGCGTTCACAGCTGACGCAGGCGACTGGGGAGCCTTCCAACGACGCTTCCTCGCCTACCAAGAGATGTCGGGCTGGTCCGACGATGAGGCACTGCGCGCCCTCCCGGCGACTATGGACGACGACGCTCTGGCTACCCTAGTGTCAGCCCCGAGATCGCGTCGCTCTACACTGCAGGCAGCGCTCCAGTTGATGGCCACTGTCTACTGGCCGCCATCTGTGAGTCGCCACCATTTTCACGAATGGAGGAAGGGCGCGAAGGAAATGCCTCTCGCCTACCGCACAGCTCTTTTGGCCCTCGCTAAGGCGGCTTTTCCGCGGATGGACTGCGAAGGCATCGATGCCATGGTAACGGAGAAGCTCCTAGTGTTGGCCCAGGAGCTGGGCATCGTTGTCCTGGCAGCAGATGATGCGGACATATGCTCGTTGCGGGTCGCCAAGAACATTCATAATCACGAGGTCCTGAAGCGGAACCGGCCTCTCATCACCGCCGCCTCCACCTCGGAGCGCAGCGAGCCCCAAGACGCCCAGCCATCGGAGGAGGTCTTCGCTGCGACTCGTCTGGGGGATTGGAGGTCGGGTGGCCGACAGCCTCAGTATCCGGCGCGCAAGCTGGAGCAACCGAGACCATCGTCAGCCCTCGTCACCTGCTACAAATGTGGCCTCCGAGGCCATGTTGCATCGGGGTGCCGGGCTCCACGGCTGCGTGCACCAGGACCTCGGCCGGATGACGCCCAGGCTTCCAAGTCATCCCAGCAATCTCCGGCAAGTCGCGGCACCACACCTGCTCGGCCCTCCCACACGCTACACACGACTCACCGCGCCGCACATGACACATCACGCGCCACGGGCGCCAGTTCAGTGAGGGGTGGTGCGTTTGGACGAGCGCTCGGTCCGGGTCAGTGGTCCGAGTTGGCTCATAGGGTGGTTGCTGCGTCGGCCGGATCGTCTGTGGTTGCGGGTTCCATTGAGGGAGTCGAGGTTCGGGTACTGGTTGACACTGGGGCATCGGCAACGATTATCTCCGACCTGATCTATAACATACTCCCTGTTCAATGTTGACCATTACTGCGTGTTGACGTCCCGTGCTATGCGGCAAATGGAGGATCCTTGGGCATCATCGGTCAAATCCGGGCGAGAATTTGAATTGGCGATATTAAGCTATCTGGGCCAGTCTTGGTTTCATCCTCTCTCGCAGTCCCATGTTTGTTGGGAATGGATTTTTTGGCTGAAATGCCGATTAAGATCCTCATTGATCAGGGCTGTATTGAACTTCCTTCGGGCCGCCGCATAGCGTTTTTGGTTTCCCCCAGCGGTATACGCACAACCGCTGCGACTGTACAAGCAATGGCCACCCAGACGGTACACGTACCGCCTGGGTCGCTAATGTTGGTTCCCCTGCGGCTGCAAAAACCTCTCGGCATAGGGGTAGCACCACATGGGGTCCTCTTGGGTTCGTCAAACGGAGCAGTGAAGGAGCTGTAGTTGTTGGTAGCTCAGACGATAGTGCAGGCAGACAGGGATCCCTTCATCATGGTTCTAAATGCGGGTCCTCAAACGGCTGTGGTCCCACAGGGGACCGTGCTCGCTCACGCGTCGTCGGCACCAATGGCAGAACCGGTGATTGGGCATGTGCATGACGGTCCCACTCCACAGCCGGAACTAAGCCGGGATCAGGGGTGGTTGGATTCACTTTGTTCTGAATCCAGTGACCTGTCCGGTTCGCAACTTGCTGCACTGCGCACCCTGTTGCTCGAATTTTCTGACTTTTTAGCAACCACAAATATGATATCAGTTGCACCGACTTGCTCCGTCACCATATTGACACGGGTGATGCCGCCCCCATCCGGCAAAATCCTTTCCAGTTAAGCCCTGCCAAGAAGGAGCATGTCAAATCGGCTGTTAATGACATGCTGTCGGCGGACATCATTTCCCCTTCCACCAGTCCATGGGGGGCCCCCATCGTGCTCGTCAAAAAACACAATGGGTCTCTGAGGTTTTGCGTAGATTTTCGTCGCCTGAATAAGATCTCTGTGGCCGATGCATATCCACTCCCCAGAATGGACGAATCATTTGACGCCTTGGCGGGGGCACAATATTTCTCCACGTTAGACCTGTTATCGGGATTTTGGCAACTTCCCCTGGACGAGGAGTCAAAACCCAAGACCGCTTTTAGAACACCCTTGGGCCTATTCCAGTTTAATCGGTTGCCCATGGGACTCCACTCAGCTCCCGCGACATTTCAGCGCTTGATGGAATTGGTTTTGGCCGGTCACCAATGGGATACCTGTTTAATTTACCTGGGCGATGTCATTCCTGAAAATGTGGTCCGCTAAATTAAAGTTCAAGCCACAGAAGTGCCACCTCCTCCGGGAATCTGTGCGGTATTTGGGGCACATAGTGAGTTGTTCAGGTATCTCCACTGATCTCGCTAAAACTCAGTGCGTCAGCTCCTGGCCTACGCCCACTTCGGTCAGTGAGGTTCGTAGCTTCATAGGGTTTGCCTCATACTATCGGCGGTTCATCGCAGACTTTGCCACCATAGCCAAGCCCCTCCACACTCTGACGGCAAAGGGCCTAAAATTTTGCTGGGGTCCTGAGGAGGAGGCCGCCTTCCGTTCCCTCAGGGACGCCCTCGTGAGTGCTCCGCTCCTGTGTTACCCTGATTTCACTGCACCCTTTGTGCTCGACACGGATGCCAGTAACACCGGCATTGGCGAAGTGCTCTCGCAGGTCATTGGAGGAGTCGAACGCGTCGTCGCCTACGGTAGCAGGGTTTTATCTCCGGCAGAACAGCGGTATGCGTTACCCGTCGCGAACTATTGGCTATCGCTTTTTTTATCCAACAGTATCGGCCGTATCTCTACGGGCAGCACTTCACTAACCGTACGGACCACGCGACATTACAATACGCACTCCGTGTTGACCAGCCAACTGTCTCGATGGTTGGAAGTCCTGCAGGACTACCAATTCACGACCACTTACCGGAAGGGTGTTCGCCATACAAACGCTGATGCCCTGTCGGGACTGCCAGTCGGCGGGGAATGTGCATGTTTCCTTGGATCGGGACGTTGCAAACCGAAATGTGTTGTCCCGTCCACTGTTTTGGCCGCCGCCGCTGACACACCGGCTCCGGGTAGCTCTCTCTCTCAAACGGGTGGGGATTTGTTACTTAATTTGACCCTCGCTGACTGGGGCCTGCTCCAAATGGGGGACGCGTCCCTGCTCACGCTACGTCGTAAGGCTGGCGGCTCCACGGACGGTCGGAGAAGGGTCGTTTCTTGGATAATGCGGGAGGGTCTCCTTATGAATTGGGATGGAAAAGCCCTCCATTACACAATTGTTGTGCCATCCGCCTTGCGGGGTAGGGTCATTCTGGCCACTCACGAGCGGCTGTTGCATTTGGGGTTTCACAAGACCTTAGCCATGCTCCTCCTTGTCTTCTTCTGACCAGGCATGGATAAGGATGTGTCGATTGTTCTCAAAGGATGTGTGCAGTGCGCCCAGCGAAAACCGCCAGCCAAAGCGGCCTGTCCACCGTTACAATCCATTCGAGTCTCTCGTGTCAATGAGCTCGTCGGGCTCGACATTTTGGGGCCATTCCCGGCAACGCTTAGGGGTAATAAGTACCTGCTGGTTGGCGTCAAATATTTAACTCGATGGCCCATGGCCTGGCCACTTGCTAACCAGTCGGCAGCGGCCGTCGCCGAGGCCTTTGTTCAGGGCTATGTCCTGGACAACGGCGCACCGGAGCGGCTGCTGACCAATCAGGGAAATAATTTCTCGAGCTCCCTTACTGCGTGAGGTACGCAACCTGTTGGGAACAAAGAAAGTGCGTACCTCCCCGTACCACTTGCAGACGGACGGGATGGTGGAGCGGCTCCACAGGACATTCACGTCCATGCTGTGCCATCAGGTGTGCGAGTCTCAGGTGGATTGGGACCTCCAAATCCCGGGTGTTCTTGCCGCCTATAGGATGGCTCCGCACGCGGCAACTTCGTATTCCCCCTTCTTCCTGATTTACGGCAGGGATGCTGATCCGCCCGTGGATGACCAGTTGGGGATTTTGGTGCCCCACCCTAAATACAAGTTGGCCGATCATGTAAAATTCAACCTTTTGAAATTGGCCGAGGCACGGGAGGCTGCGGCACAACATTCATGCTCTCGCCAATTGGCGAACGAGCGGTTGCGTGCACACCGCACACACACCCACGAGTGGAAGCCTGGCGATAAGACATGGCTACACCGTCCGCAGGTACCGTTGGAAACATCCCCTAATCTGCTGAAGCCATGGAGAGGGCCGGTTGAGGTTGTGCAGGTCGCACGGCCACAATGTGTTTGTATTAAGTGGGGGAAACGGCTATGGTATGTTCACCCCTCACGACTGAAACCGTTCATTTCACCGCATACATCCCATGGATGTCCTAGTGGCCGAGCATGTGATGTGTCCGTCGACTCGGGGAATGTGGTACCGTCACCTGATCCTCACATGCCACTGCCTGTTCCACTTCCAGGCACACCGGAATTGACGGCTGACAAAACACATCGGCCACCGGAGCCGGACAATGAACATGGAACCAGGCAGCCCACACTGTGCCCTCAGGGGCTGCCTGCCTCAACCCTCAGACCACCATTCCCTGCCCCGTACGACGGGCCAGCCAGTCGGACTCGGGCTAAATCACGCCGGTTTTCGTGAGGGGTGGTTGCTCACTGTCCAGGCGTTCTTCTCCTCACGAACTACGCGTCGGGTCGGTCGCGTTGCGTCGCGGGTTCCGGTGCCGGGGAGGGGGGGGGATATATATTTTTTTGTATATATTGTGTATAGTGTCTATTTGTACAGGTGGGTTGGGGTAATTTGTTGTTGTTGTTCTGTTCTTGTTATTGAGGCACATTAAATTCGGGTTCTTGTTAAACAGTTTTGATTTTTTTGTTGAGTGTTGTTGCAGCCGGGACGGCTGCGGGCTGTACAGGGGGGGGGGGGTGATGGAGAGGTGTTACGAGAGGGGGACACGCGGTTGTAGGGCGGTGGCCACACACACGTCCGCTATGGCCACCACCCTGGGGGGCTGTGGGGAACGCTGTGATTCCTCCCAGCCCTGCCCCTCAGTGAGGGACAGCATAAAAGGGGGGACCCGGAGAGCTGAGGGGCAGTTCGACTCAAGCAAGATGAAGAGCCAGTGAAGAAAGAAGATCAACTAGCTAGACCCTGGAACTCCTTTTGCCCGCTGTCCTTTTGAGGGCCGGGCAAAGCAAGCCAGGGTGCGACACCAGAGCCTCGAGGCCCGATGTCCTTTTGAGGGCCGGACAAGTGTGACTGGTGATCAGGACCTGCGCCGAAGCTGGCCCAGGTCAGATAGGCTCGGGAAACATTCCCTCTATAGAGTACGGGTGAAGAGGCCGTTACCTCTTCAAGTATCAGATTAGCCACTGTAGAGTGAAGTGTCTGTAATAAATACGTGTTGCCTCCAAAGAACAAGTCTCCGTCTTTAATAAGGCACGACACAAGTAAAAGCCATGGCCGTGAATCAAACTCAGGGCTTGGTTTTTAGCTTAGTGTGTTAATCCACTGCACCATTGCTGCAACATTCACCTCTTTGTGTTTCTACATCTCTATCTGTCTATCACTGTCTGTATCTGTGCTGTGTGTCACTGCTCTCTGTTCTGCCGTGGGAATGCATACGTCCTAAATTTCATAATGCCGAACACGCAATACAAACCGAAAAACATCGGAGGAGCGCACATTGAATTGAGAGTCCACAGCAAAGTGCACCATTACCGTTTTCTTGAGGGAAAGGTATGTATGTATGTTTAACTTATTTTGCAGACATGGGAGATTCGAACGCTGTGGATGAATCATCTACAATTAAGACGGAGGCCCTTGAAGGTAAAACCGAATTATAGAGCCCACGTTTGAACAATTTTTCCAATATTTGCAGTCATATCACAGATATGTTTCTAGCTCTTCATCATCACCATCAGCCATGATCAATCCACCGATGGGTTAAGGTTTTCGAAAGTCATCGCCATCTCTCAGAGTCTCGCGATGAAAGTCTATCAAACTCCTGCACACGAGATGATTTCATCGCTGCATCTCCATGGTGGGCATCATCTCGGACATGTTGCCTGCTTAGGCTGCCACTCTTTTTAGCCTCGACCACCGGCCCTTATACGTTTTAGCCGAGTGTACTGCCCAAGCCCATTTTTTTACAGTAAATATGACTCGAAACAGGAGGAATTGTCCACGTTTCTGGTGTTGTATATGTCGGTTATGAAAATTTTTATGAAAATAATCAAAATTAAATGAAATTTGAAGTTTGCGTAATTATCCGAATGTATGTTAATTGATTTAATTACGCTACTCTGCCAGCCTCGCCATCCTCGGTTGATCGCGGGGCCCCTTGGACCCTGCCGCTCGCCGCCCTCTTCTGGCGCTCGCCGAGCTGTACCTTGTTGAACTGTCGAAAGCGCTATTGTGTGTGTCGTGCTGCTGTTTTATCCGAAAAATCTCCCCCCTCTGCGCGTCTCTTGCGAGAGGAAAAAAACAGATGCTCACTCTGCGTTGTGGGGTGGGGGTGTAGTCCGTGTGTTCGTGTATGTCCGTGTGTGTGTGTATTGAGCCATCTGTTCGCCCTTCCTGTGATCAACCGTCGCCCTCCTCAAGGTGTTACATTTCTGGCTCTCCCGCGCTGCGGGAAGACAAAGGCGGCCGGGAGGCTCTCTCTCTTTCTGGCTGGCCCCCGGTTTAATCCTGCATCATTATCATTTTTGGTTTATGTTTCCCGAGATTATTCCTATAATGTCAGCTTATTCTTGTTGTTAAGTTTCCCTTGGACTTTCTGTTAATTAAAAGTAATCAAATCCTGTCTGTCCGGTTGTTCCACCGTCCTGGAAGCTGCTCGGCAAGATAAATTCCTTCCCGCCCCCTTCCTCCTTTTGATCTCGAAGGGTGTTACATTCTGGCTCTCCCGCGCTGCGGGAAGACAAAGACGGCCGGGAGGCTCCTTCCTATGGAACACAGTCTATCTTGGCTGTGTAAGCTCGTCCCATTCCGCCTCATTCCTTCTCGATAACCCTTGATGTAACTCTGCATTTTCTGTCCACAAGATTTGTGATTTAACAGTTCATCATTAGATGTTACCTCCGATATTCCAAGGGTTTTATACTTTTGCTCCCTGTCCGCATACATACACGATGTCGACCTATTTACTAAGTTCTAAACTTTAACCCTCGTATTAATAGCAAAGAAGGGTAAATGTTTAAATCTCTTTCTGTATGGCGTCACTCTGTCTGCGGGCTGACGAAGGGGGGGGGGGGTCTCTGAAGTCTGGAATTCCCCCTTCCCATTCGGTGACCCCGGGCGGCTGTGTTACATCAAATAGGTTTGTTTGTGAATTGTCCTTTGGCAATCTGGAGATTTTGCAGATAGTCGCTAACCTCCCTTTGCCCCGGAGTTTAATATTTATATTTTTGCGGCCTTTTTACGATCTCCAGCTGCGTTTTGCTGGTCCTTGTCGTAGCGGGTGTTATTTATTTATTTATAATTAAAAAACATCGGCAAGTATTATTAATATCAATTTTGGAAAAGGCCTATAGATACAACACACATTTTTTTTGTATTGTTTTCCCCCACACAGGTGCTAGTGGCATTGAAGAAAATTCGGGGTTCATCGTGCAAGACGTGGTTTCACTACAAGGGATGGGACTGAACTTCACAAACTTCGAAAAAGTTGCTTCGTGTTCACGGCTGCAGCAGTATCACAATTGGCAGAGGACTGGAAGTGAAATGCGTACGGATAATAATTCTGCAAAAACTGGACACTATCACGGGCGACAGGAATCACCAAACGCCATTGAGGATTTGCCTAGCAGTCGGCAGGATCCTGCTGTTGAAGAGGCCGACCGATCAGTTAACCAGCTGGACACGTTAAGGTCGCTGGAA